GATGATGAGGGATCAGCTCGTAGCACAAGGCCTGGAACGTGGCCAGGACCATGGAGATTGCTAGACAAGTTACTTATGTGACTGCAATGCTATCCTGCTTTTTTTCCTCCTTAACAGCTACAGAGCGGAGGTGACACGCTTCCTATTAATAGTGTGCTGTAGCAGCAGTACGTAAAGGAGATAAGTAACATTTGAGCTCCCATCACTCAACACACTTATTCAGTGCAGAATGTCAAAATCTGTGACTAACAAATGGTGGAAAGTCTCTGTGAAGAATGTCAATAGGTTTTCTGTTTTCTCATTTCCACTTAAAAGTTATTCATAATATTCCAAACTGAAAGCTCTGTAAATGGTAGTAATTTTTCAGTGTGTTTACTAGAGAACTCCATGATAGTATCTGTTTAATAACTCTCAGTCAACATTCAATCTTAGGTGCTGAAGTTTAACCCTGTAACAATTTGACTAAGGTGGAAGATCATTATCTCTGGCCTGTGTGCCAGAGCAGAGGGAAACTGAAATGGCAGAACTGTAAAAACATTGCATCAGAAATTCTCTTTGCTTTTACACAAACACACTAAGGTTGGATGGTGTTGCAAATGTTAGCCTCTAGGGAGTACCTAGTAATTTTGTGGAAATAGATATTGCTTTTCCTTCTCCAGCCTGACTTAAGATGCAACTTGACAAGACACCTCCAAGATTATCTGTGTGCTGGCTGCCACTGCAAGGGCAGTCCTAGTTCTGGCTGTGTCCTGCGTTGTCCTCTCTTTAACAGACTTGCTTAGCTAGTGACCAGACTTATCCAAAAATTGAAGAAGTTTTCTGCTGCTCAGAGGGATGAACTGGCTTGCAAAGTATTGTGGTGAACTCTAAAGAGTGGACAAAGTGAGGGTGAAGGGGGAGTGGGTCCCTCTGTTCTGGCAGCAGTAAGCACTTCACTTAGCTCAGCTACCTTGGTTGACTATACCGCAAATTTAGGTAGAGTTCAGAGCAGTGCTAGAAAGACTCGTGATGCCCTGTCCTTCCCCTGTTGCTAACAGCAGCGGAGTGTCTGAGAGAGCAGTCTTCAGAATGGTTTAGCATGAGCGGGACACTGTATTTTCTATAGCCTTGGTCCAAGCAGTAACTATACTGTTCAGCTGAAAGTTTCCTAAACTCTTCAGCCTGCAGTTGCCACGAGAGGCTGCAGTCCAAGTGGGTGAAGACAGGATCTTACTGTGTGAGGTGTCAGATGGCCTTGGTACTTGGCAGCGGCATCCCACCAGCTCCAGCAGCTCTGCTGGTGCAGAGCACAGGCAGGAGGCAGGGTGGAGTTGGGGGAAGAGGGGATGGATAAAGAGGAACATGGGGAGGGGGTATAAAGGAAATGGTGAGTGAGGAGAGGAATAGTGTAGCAATAAACTCTCGCGTGCTTTGTCTGTTGCTTTAATATTTTATAAAGACAACCTGGTAAAATACAAATGATAAGAAAATATAATTACCCAGATTCCCAAACCTGTCTTGCCTGCAGTGCCTGAAGGATACTCCTTCGTATTTCATTGAAATCATTTTGGTTGGTCATCTGTAGAGGTCACGTTGGTGCGAGGGCCACACTAGCTGTGGGACAGCTGACAGCAGCACCCTGCGTTGCCGCTCCTCCGGCCCCACGTTGGGTGGGAGGGAATGTGAGAGTCGCGCCAGCCTGTCTGACCTTGCTGTTTGCTTCTTCTGTGGGCCAGTGTGGGAGCTGGGCAGTTGGGATTGCTTTCATTTCTCCTTCTGGGGTTGGTTTGTACATCCACTGGCTGTAACAGGGAGCAACCCATGATGCTCACAGTCTGAGGAGTATTAGAGTATGCAGGTGCTGTGGGTTGTGGTTGTGGAGCTGAGGGGAAGGGTGTGTATTTTTAAACACAGTAAAACAGGATGTGAGGTGAGAGGATCTGGTGTGTACCAGTCTGACCTGAACAAAGATTTGAGCTACTGTTGTTGGCTTTTGGGGAGCCGTTTCTCATGGAAGCCTTCTGTGAGGGCTTGTGTCTACATTGCTGTTATCTGCTTCAGCAGTGCCACACTGGACTATCTCTTTATTATTACTGTTTTAGCTTGCAATTTCAAGAAACCTTGGATCCCAGACATTGGGTTACTTTCCAGTGAAACTAAAGAAAAAGTTGCTGTCTATCTACTAATGGATGTTCACTCCAAAAGACTAGACTAGAAATAGAATGAAGTGAAACATTCCAAAATGTATATAGTATAGTCATAGACAGTGTGTTCTTTATTTTTGGGGAAAAATTTTGTCCAGAAAAATAGCCTTTGAATATTTCTTGTTGGCTCATTAATTTTCAGTAGCTTAATGCCCTTCTCATTTCCAGGGTATGTGGCTATAGTTACAGATGAGTTACAGGTAAACCTTAGACTAGAGAAGAGCTGCTGGTAGAGGAGGTCCGTTTCTGTGTGAAATGCCCATTCCAAGTGGATCCATGAGGATCAGCAGCTTTCTGCAGCCTGAGCTTGACGCTAAGGCGATTGAGTCCTGTGCTAGACAGTGACAGTGTCACCATGTTAGCCTGTGTTTATACCAGCGTTACAGTTTTGACTTCTGTTGCTATAATTATTATTCACTCTTGAGCCAATTGCTGTTGCACCATATGGCGAAAATGATCACGCTGTGACGCTGCTTTGCCTTGTCTGAAAGTTCTCAGCATCCAGCAGCACCCACAAAAAAAATGTAGTCCACTTACTACTGAGCACTTCTAGAGATTTGGCTGCTTTATTGAGGTACTTTAATGAGAGCAGAGTTCAAAAAAATCTAATTAGATTTTTTTGTGCATACTGTATCATATGAACTTTCAGTAAAGCTGAGCTTGATCTGTAGCATTGTGGAAACTCATGTCAGCTGTTCTGAGTGTACACATACACACACACAAGAAAGACCTGGCCCTAGTTTCATTAACGTGTGCACATGCATGTACATACTATTTTTTTTTTTCCTCTTTGTATTTCATTTGGAATCCAGCAACCATGGAAAAAGCGCGGAAGAGACTTTGTTCCTGGTTGAAATGCATTCAATCTTTAGAGCGCGTAAATGGATGGACTGCAAAAAAAGTTAATTTGATTGTTGTCCCACCTCCTTCCTCAAACAATTGACAGAAAGAGCCTGCTCATTTTCTTACTTCATGGGTGACTGCAAGAGAGAAGGCAAGTTGCAGTCCTGGGAATGGTGCTTTAGTACATTGTATCGAAGTCGTGAAACAAAGTGGTTAGTTTAAAATTCTGTGTAGATTGCTTCTTGGCATATAGGGTTACTGGAAGTCTATTTTAGTAATTCCTGGCGTTCCACATGTGTGATGGTGTTTTGGGTTGGGAGGTATGTTCTAGTCTAATGTGGTTTGGGCTGGACTGGCCACTGAAACGAATGACAGACAAATAGCAATCCCATCTGTATTTGATTATAGCAAGAAAGATACAGAGGAAACAGTTCTTTGCTATGGGCTGTTGGGTCAGTCACTTCGAGGTTTTCTACTTTGCCTTCCTTTAGGAGAAGCATAGGCTTCCATTTTATCTTTAATGATGATTTTGTAAAAAATATATATGTTGGAGGATGCATCTCTACTTGTGAGTGTGCCCAGGAACACTTTCTCACACTGAAGCCAAATGGCACAAGACGTCCTGCACTGGTTCTGTTAAACTTTCCAGATTTCAGAAAGGGGACTGTATATGTGGAATATTTCCTGGGTACTGCTGGCTCCTGGAGCATGTGTAGGAGGTGTTGGGATGAATGATAGCTAGCTGGGATGGGAAGCTGTGCTGGGGGTCATTCTAAAAAACATTATGGATAATGAAATTTCCAGTGCCTGGGAATATTTATTGTTACCATTTAATCAGCTTGTGCAGATGTAGCCTCAGTGGCTTCTAATCGAGCACATGCATCTACATAAAAATGTTTGGGAGAAATTATAATTATATTCTGATGGCAATCAAATTGCAAGTTGCACTGATGGCACTTTTATGTAATGAGGTACTACTTGTGGATGAATTAATTTGTGCCTTATGCTGACCTTTTAGCTGTCTGGTTTTAGGTCCATTTTTTAAACATAGTGGTTTGGTGTGTGCAGGTGTGGCATTTGTGCTCTGCAAAATCTTCCAATGGAACTGGGTTCAAGGTGTGACTGAATTCTCTGACAAATGTTGATGTTGCCTTTAAATTAAACCATGCTGAAGCCAATAGGCTCCAGTTAGGAGTCACTTCCTGACTAATTGTGTGCTTACACGAGGTAATCTTCTGGATATGTTTTAAAGGGTTGTTTAACCTATTTGTGTGAAAATTAAAATTCAGTTTCAGAAGAATGAGGGAGAAGAAAGTTGATGGTGGCCAGTGCTCTTAGTTGTACTCTGAGACTGTGATTCACTTTTCAGACTGCCTTCAGAGCTGCTTCAGAATAGTTTCTGCAACAGCATTTAAAGATAAAATTGATTAAGGCTTCTATAAAAAAATATGTGCTGTAACAAGTTTCTCTGCTTAATTGAGCATAATCCAAGTAGGTATGCATTTTAACCAGTAATTTAATATATTGAGTGTTTATATCTCCACTGACTCTGAAGGGCAGTCATGGGAGCAGAATACTGTCACTAAGCTCTGCCTCCAGGGACCACAGTTGCACATTTTGGAGTTGTCTCCAGGCCACCCTTGCAATCAATATTTACTGTAATTACAAATGAAATGAGAGAGTCTTTAAGTGGTGGGTGCATTTAATAACATATTATAATAGCAGAGCAATGAATTGAGGATTAATCAAAACTTTTTAAATTGGTGCTGAATTGATTTAATGATTTGCATTGGGCTTAGTGCTGTATGCCTGTTGACAATAATTTACTTAAAAAATTGCATTCCAATTTCCTCTTAATTGCACATGGTATGCTTCAGGGTGACAGTGAAGATATTAAAATATCAGTAACAGATGTGATGTTTGCTAATGGAGCATCACATCCCATATATTTTCCTCATCCTGTTATTTATTTATCTGCAGATGAAGCCTTTGCCTCTCAACAAAAGAAAATCCGCTTCTTCCTATGAAGTTTCTGGTTTTTTCCAGAGGACTGAACAGGTCATCTTTGCCTCATAAATCAGTAAGTGAAGAATAGCCAAGTATAACGGTTATGTACCATAACATTATTGTTACTGTTATTAAGTCTCAGGCTGGCCTTCAGAATTTTAAATATGCAACACAGCGTTTGGGGTCTGAGCTAAAGATGCCTGAAGGGAACGCTTTTGCAGTCATGTCAGTGGGCTCTGTAGGAAATGCCTTACATTCTATATTCTGTTTCTATTCTATATTCTGCCATGGATTCCAGATGTGGCCAGGTAAACTTGTCCTAGGTTAACTCTAGGGAAACTCTGTTTCCGCAGGTATGGTTCTTCCTGTATTGAACAGAAATGATGGCATGCACAGACCTATATGTTCTGTATCCTGACTTCTTATGTTGCTGCTGATACCCTTGCTCTGCCTCCTCTTAATTGCTCTGTGCAGACACGGTCTCTCATGTGTACCATGGGATGATACAGCACTTGAAGGAAGCCAGAGTTCTTGAGGTTTCTCTAAGAGCAGCTGGACCAGATGACCTCCAGAGGTCCCTGCCAACCTCACCCTTCTGTGATGTCTTTGCCAGTGTGGTTACCCCCTAAGTAGAAGGGGTAGAGTTACTATACTGGTAAGGCCCTCCTAATGTAGACGTGACCTATAAGAACTTTGCTCATGGTTTGCTATACTGTACCTTTTCTGTCTGTATTGCATTTCAGTAGCAGCCTTCTCCCGGCAAGGATTTAGGCACAGAGGCACAGAGTGAGGGTACTGTGTGGAAAGTTGTATTTCAGTTGTCTGTACATTCACTGAGCTGAGATTTAACAGAGCTCCTTGTACTTACAGTCTGGAATTTTTGTGACCACTGGGATGCAAGAGAGCTTAAAAAATTAAAAATACAGAGGTGCCTACAGGTGATAAACATTGAGGGATTCTTATTCCTTGTGCATTAATGTACTTTTGATGGTGGAAATAGTATTTCTGATTTTTTTTTTTTTTTTTTTTGCAGCTGTGTGGCAAGTGCAATCCATTTATGTGAACACCAGTAGCTTTTGTTTATAGCTGATAATACTGTTCTAAAAAAAGCTTGCTAGCTTCTGTCAAAATAAACCAACAGAAAGATCTGTTTAGTAGTTTTCATTTTGACAAATCAGCAAAATTTGACTTAAATGGAATTAAGTGCTTTTCAACCCTATCCTCCTGCATGGGATAAACTTCAGTAGATGGACCTTGCCAAAACGAACTGTTGTTTGTTCTTGCCTTTTGTAGTGCCCTTAAGGTCCTAAGTAAAGTTGGTTCTAAACCAACCAGCTATTTTTGGAAGTGAACATTGGAAATAAAAACTTATAGGTAGCAGTTAACAATGAGACCTTAAAATAGAGTTTGTTGTAGAAGCAAACTGTCCTTGAGAGTCCAGCTGCTTTTCTTATAAAACCCTCTGCAGACTTTTCTGGGTGTGGGGAATGAATGAGTTGTGAATGTTTCATGTTTGTGTCCTTGATGCCTGGCTGGGTGTAATGCTGTCTGGAAGAATAATGAGAGGGGCCACAATGCTTCCCCCCCTACTCTTGACCCCTCTTCAGCCTGCCAGCGCGGGGGCTAGCCACATCTGCAAATTGTATCCCACTGGTGAACGACTCCAGGGCAGATGGAAAGGAGGTTCAAGGAAGGGACCTGACTGCAGTTATTCCCTAGATACTTTTTCCTTGACTGCGATGCCTATCACTTTATTTTTATAATCAGCCTCACGTTTGTGCTGCACGCAACATTCACGTGCCTGTTGTTTTGTGGACTGGACTGTTCAGTGCAAACTCGTGTCATGATAAGCATGAAGCTCAGTGCTGAGCAAGGGACTTGTGTAGTCATTCAAAAACACGGTATGACTGTGCAATATACACAGAGACAGGAGAAAAGCATATTTTATCCTCTTTTAGAACATCCAGGAATCTTTTGTCTAGCTGACTTTAAAGAAATAATTTTCTAATGGAAAAATAGTTTTCTAATGTTCAGTTCAAATTACTGTATTTCTGAGTTTTATAGATAAGTTTGTTGGTATGTGCTTTTTCCTTGGTTTTTTTTTTTTGCCAAAAAAAACCTCATCAGAAGGTTGTGCATGACACAACTCTCAGCTGTGTCATGCACTTGAGTCCTAATGTGTATAGCACTTGTGCTTACATATTCACAAAATAAATCACCTAAATTAACTGTTGAAACCTGATTTGGGAGAAGTCTTGGTTATGAAATGCTGTGGTAACCACCCAGTCATTTCACTCTCTTTGGAAATCAAGAACAAATACTGGTCTTCTTTTTGTAGAATACAATCAATATGGTGTTTTTCTTCATGCTTGCTTAACTATTTACTTACACATTTTTATCATACAAAGAAAAAGAATTGTCATCATTGTGCAACTGGGTAGTCAAAATATAACTCTATTCAGACATTTTCAAATATGAATATGTTTTCTAGTTTTCTACCTGTTTTTATAAAAAAGCATGTTGAGATGAATAAAGTAATTTTTGAGGGAAAAGGAAAAAAAAAGAACAGCTTTCAAACCGCCCCCCCCCCCAAGTCCTTTTATATGAATGTCATTTGCTCACTAGCCTACCTTCCCTAGATAGGGTAGGGGGAAGAGCAAGAAAAAAAGAGAGAAAAACCTCATAGGTTGAAATAAAGCCTGTTTACTTTCCTCTTCTGTTACTATTCTATTAATAATAGTAATAATATTGGTAAAAGAATATACAAAATTAAATGATAGCACACCACCTGATGATTGATTGCCCAGCCCATCCCAAGCAGTGATCATGGATTGCTGTCTCCCAGCCAGCCCCCATTGATACACTGAGCATCATGTCCATGGTATGGAATATTCCTTTGGCCAGCTTGTCCCGTCTGTGCTCCCTCTAGGCTTCTATGGGAAGCTGAAAAAGTCCTTGCCTCAATATAAATGTTACTTAGCAATAACTAAACCAATATGTGTTATCAACATTGTTCTCATACTGAATCCAAAACACAGCAACTACGAGGAAGACAATTAACTCTCTCCCAGCTGAGACCAGGGCACATTTTCATGGACTCATTTGTAACACCATGTGTCCAAAACTTCCCCTTAATACAAAAGTAATCTTATTTTGCAGCCTTCAAGGGGAAAGCTATTTTTAATAGTGAAATATTAAAAAAAAAACCACCAAAAAGCAGAATGGGAATGTGACAGTTAATAGTGTATTGAGGTAATATTTCGTTGGTGAAATGAATAAAGAAATACATGATTGGATGTGGCTGATTACAAGATCCATCTGGTGTATCTGGAAGTGTCTGCTTGGAGCAGGAAGATTTTGAGGTTCTGCTCCTTTTTTTTCTTTGTGGTTCATAGAGAAGGTATTTTAATCCCTTAAATAGGCAAACTGCTTCTAAAATAGAATTATGTCATATTATGTTAAACGAGTAACTTGTACATTCGTCCTGACTTCATAGGGCTGAAAAGTAGAAAAGGTTGAGCTTAAGACTTTCATGATGCATGTTAGTGAAACAGATGAAAAGATCAATAATTTAGAAATAACCAAAATGACACTCCTGGTATAAAAGCTTAGGATTTTCTTTGGCATGTGTATTTATTATTCACTATTAATCATTAACATGCACTTTGAAAGCACAGGCAGACTTTTATCTTGAGCGTTTGTGAATCAAGGCATACAAATATAGGTTTTTCCAAAAAGTGAAAAAAAAATTAAAAATAATTAAGGCAAATGTTTAGAGAGGAGCTGAGTAATCAAACTTGGCTTCAGTTGTGTTACAGCTGTCTCAGGACCTGTGGTATAACTCCTTTGTGTAATAAATTATTGTTTAATATGTTTAAATTTTATGTCTTCTCTAATCATAATATTTGAGCACTAGTGGATAAGCACCTGTTAATAAAATCGAAATAGTTGTAAAGACGGTTCTCAGTAATAGCTTTGGTAATAGTGAGTCATGCTGAGGTGCGAAGTATTAGTTCTGCAGGTACAGAGTCCTGGGTAGGACCACGCTGTAGCGGGCACGTGCGACTGACATGCACACAGATATTCCCAGGCTGGTTTTCGTGTATCTATTTTGGGGGCTGATAGGTTGGAAACACTGGTGACTTGAGCTTCACCCCTAGTTTAGATTTGTAGGGACGTGATCAGATTCATGCCTGCCCTGCTGTTGATACCTGTGCTAACCAACGTAGAGCTAAATTGGTATGTCTGCAGCATAGATGAACTCTGAAAATTCAGTGAAATGCTGCCCTAATCAAGTCGACCAGGGGTTTCCACTGGCAAATGGTTAGCAGCAGTATACGAGAAGGAGAAAGGAAGGTTTTTTTTCTGAACTACTTACGAGAAGTTCCCCAATAACCGTAGCCACAGAATTGTGTGGGCATTTCCTTGTGTAAACAAGCCCTGCCCTCAGCTTGAGGAGGATAAGTGTGAAGCTTTGTGCTATGCTACTGAGACTTTGGCCGCAGCGTGTTGCAGATAAGGAACTCCCACACTGTACGTTTACCTTGTGAATTTCAAGTCCTTTACAGCTTAATTTATGGGTATTTAGGGAATGAGGAATGGCAGCATTTGGTTTATAATTCAAACTGAAGTGATTTCTCTATTGCTTGTCAATTGTGTACGTTCAAGTAAAGAGACCAGAAAGGTGGTGTTGGCAGGAGCTTGGAATAACCTTACTATACCTAGGGTAATAAGTGGTAATAAGTGCTAAAGGTACAAACGAGATTAGAAGGACTGAGCCAATGATTAAAAGAGTTCTGCTTAAAAAAAACAAACTGAAGGAGTTTGTTTTATAGAATCAGGTTAAACTTCTGGTTTCCCAGCAGGTGACGTTTTGGGTCTAAACTAGTATTCTGTTGCACAGAAGGTAAATACTTATTCTTTTCCTGATACACAAAATACTTGTGTGCCTACTCTGTGGCTCACTGGAAACTTATTTGACCAGAAACTTGTAGTTTGCTCTGTACTTACCTGTAGAAACAAGAACATCTTTCAACATTACTCATTTTGAGGAAATTTAATGAGAAAAGTAGG